TTGCCGGTTCACTCTAATGATTGTTTCCTTTGCTGTACAGAAGCTCTGGAGTTTAATTAGATCCCATTTGTCTATTTTAGCTTTTGTTGCCATTGCTTTTGGTGTTTTAGCCATGAAGTCCTTGCCTATGCCTATATCCTGAATGGTTTTGCCTAGGTTTTCTTATAGGATTTTTATGGTGTTAGGTCTTATTTAGATCTTTAACCCATCTGGAGTTAATCTTAGTGTAAGGTGTCAGGAAGGGGTCCAGTTTCTGCTTTCTGCACATGGCTAGCCAGTTTTCCAATACCATTTATTAAACAGGGAATCCTTTCCCCATTGCTTGATTTTGTCAGGTTTGTCAAAGATCAGATGATTGTAGATGCGTGGTGTTGCTTCTGAGGCCTCTGTTCTGTTCCATTGGTCTATGTCTCTGTTTTGGTACCAGTAACATGCTGTTTTGATTACTGTGGCCTTGTAGTATAGTTTGAAGTCAGGCAGCATGATGCCTCCAGCTTTGTTATTTTTGCTTAAGATTGTTTTGGCTATACGGGCTCTCTTTCGGTTCCATATGAAGTTTGAAATGGTTTATTCCAGTTCTGTGAAAAAGGTCATTGGTAGCTTGATGGGGATAGCATTGAATCTATAAATTACTTTGGGCAATATGGCCATTTTCACAATGTTGAGTCTTCCCAACCATGAGCATGGAATGTTTTTCCATCTGTTTGTGTCCTCTCTTATTTCATTGAGCAGGGTTTGTAGTTATCCTTGAAGAGGTCCTTTACATGCTTTGTTAGTTGTATTCCTAGGTATTTTATTCTCTTTGTAGCAATTGTGAATGGGAGTTCACTTTTGATTTGGCTCTCTGTTACTGTTGTATAGGAATGCTTTGATTTCTGCACATTGATTTTGTATCCTGAGACTTTGCTGAATTTGCTTATCAGTTTCAGGAGATTTTGGGCTGAGACGATGGGGTCTTCTAAATATTACAATCATGTCACCTGCAAATATAGACAATTTGGCTTCCTCTTTTCTAATTGAATACCCTTTATTTCTTTTTCTTGCCTGATTGCTCTGTCCAGAACTTCCAATACTATATTGAATAGGAGTGGTGAGAGAGGACATCCTTGTCTAGTGCCAGAATTCAAAGGGAATGCTTCCAGTTTTTGCCTGTTCAGTATAATATTGGCTGTGGGTTTGTCATAAATAGCTTTTATTATTTTGTGATGTGTTCCATCGATACCTAGTTTATTAAGGGTTTTTAGCATAAAGGGCTGTTGAATTTTGTCAAAGACCTTCTCTGCATCTATTGAGATAATCATATGGTTTTTGTTTTTGGTTCTGTTTATGTGATGGATTATGTGTATAGACTTGTGTATGTTGAACAGCCTTGCATCCCAAGGATGAAGCCTACTTGGTCATGATGAATAAGCTTTTTGATTTGCTGTTGCATTCTGTTTGCCAGTATATTATTGAAGATTTTCGCCTCAATGTTCATCACGGATATTGGCCTAAAGTTTTCTTTTTCAGTTGTCTGTCTCCCCAGTTTTGGTATTAGGATGATGTTGGTCTCATAAAATGATTTGGGAAGGATTCCCTCTTTTTGTGTTGTTTGGAGTAGTTTCAGAAGGAATGGTACCAGCTCCTCTTTGTACGTCTGGTAGAATTCGGCTGTAAACCTGTCTGGACCTGGGCGTTTTTTAGTTGGTAGGCTTTTAATTGCTACCTCCACTTCAGCCCTTGTTACTGGTCTATTCCAGGTTTCAACTTCTTCCTGGTTTAGTCTTAGGAGAGTGCAAGTGTCCAGGAATTTATCCATTTCTTCCAGATTTATTGGTTTGTGTGCATATAGTTGTTTGTAGTAATCTCTGATGGTAGTTTGTATTTCTGTGGAATCAGTGGTGATGTCTCCTTTATCGTTTTTTATTGCATCTATTTGATTCTTCTCTCTTTTCTTTTTTATTAGTCTGGCTTGCAGTCTATCTATTTTGTTGATCTTTTCAAAAAACCAGCTTCTTGATTTGTTGATTTTTTTGAAGGTCTTTTTTTGTGTCTCTATCTCCTTCAGTTCTGCTCTGATCTTAGTTATTTCTTGTCTTCTGCTATCTTTTGAATTTTTTTGATCTTGCTCCTCTAGCTCCTTCAATTTTGATGATAGGGTGTTGATTTTAGACCTTTCCTTGCTCCTCACGTGGGCATTTATTGCTGTGAATTTCCCTCTAGATACTGCTTTAAATGTGTCCCAGAGATTCTGGTATGTTGTGTCTTTGTTCTCGTTGGTTTCGAAGATCATTATTTCTGCCTTCATTTCATTGTTTATCCAGTCGACATTCAGGAATCAGTTGTTCATTTTCCATGAAGTTGTGCGGTTTTGAGTTTGTTTCTTAATCCTGAGTTCTAATTTAATTGCACTGTGGTCTGAGAGACTCTTTGTTATGATTTCCGTTCTTTTGCATTTGCTGAGGAATGATTTACTTCCAATTGTGTGGTCGATTTTAGAGTAAGTGTAATGTGGTGCTGAGAAGAATGTATATTCTATGGATTTGGGGTTAAGAGTTCTGTAAATGTCTGTTAAGTTTGCTTGGTCCAGCTCTGCATTCAAGTCCTGGATTTTCTTGTTGATTTCTGTCTCATTGATCTGTCCAATATTGACAGAGGAATGTTAAAGTTTCCGACTGTTATTGTTTGGGAGTTTAAGTCTCTGGTAGGTCATTAAGGACTTGCTTTATGTATCTCAGTGCTCCTGCATTGGGTGCATATATATTTAGGATAGTTAGTTCTTGTTGCATTGATCCTTTTATCATTATGTAATATCCTTCTTTGTCCCTTTTGATCTTTGTTGGCTTAAAGTCCATTTTATCGGAGACTAGGATTGCCACCCCTGCTTTTTTCTGCTCTTCATTTACTTGGTAAATCTTCCATCCCTTTATTTTGAGTCTATTTGTGTCTTTGCACGTGAGATGGGTCTCCTGAATATGGCACACTGATGGTTCTTGGCTTTTTATCCAATTTGCCAGTCTGTGTCTTTTGATTGGGGCATTTAGCCCATTTACATTTAATGTTAATATTGTTATGTGTCAGTTTTATCCTGCCATTTTATTACTGGTTGGTTGTTTTGCCCTTTGGTTGGCATAATATCTTCATTGCATCTTTGGTCTTTACCATTTGGTTCTTTTTTGCAGTGGCTGGTACTGGTTTTTCCTTTCTGTGTTTAGCGTTTTCCTCAGGAGCTCTTGTAGGGCAGGTCTGGTAATGACAGAATCTCTCAGCAATTGCTTATCCGTAAAGGATTTAATTCTCCATCACTTATGAAGCTTAGTTTGGCTGGATGTGAAATTCTGGGTAAGAGATAAGCCCTTACCCAGTTGCCCAGGCTGGAGTGCAGTAGTGTGATCCTAGCTCACTGCAGCCTCAAACTCCTCTGCTCAGGCAATCTTCCTGCTTCAGCCTCCCAAGTAGCGGGGACTACAGATGTGCACTACTGTGCCTGGCTAATTTTTAAATTTTTTGTAGAGACAGGATCTCTTTTTGTTGCCCAGGCTAGTTTTGAACTCTTGGCTTCAAGCAATTCTCCTACCCCAGCCTCTCAACATGCTGGGATTACAGGTGTGATCCACTATGCTCGGCTTCTTATATACTTTAAATAGATTATTTATTTTACCTAATAGTATATGCACTATGTAAATAGTTGTTTTGTTATTGTATTTTTTTTCAAAGCTTTTTTATTTGAGGTTGGTTGAACCTGCAGATATAGAACTTGTGGATATGGAGGTCCAACTGTATTTGTCATTTTCATCTTCAATTTCATATTTATTTCAGTGAAATACCTTGCTTGGTCAAGTCTGAGCTTCAAACAATTGTGTGGCAAGAATTTTTGAGTTTTAAAAAATTTTGTAAATACAAACATTTTAGAGCTCCTTATTATTTTTATAGTTATCTTGTGGCGAACATTTTTTTTTTTGGAGACAGAATCTTACTCTGTTGCCCGTGCTGGGGTGCAGTGGCATGATCTCAGCTCACTGCAACATCTGCCTCCCAGGTTCAAGCAGTCCTCCTGCCTCAGCCTCCAAAGTAGCTGGAAGTACAGGTGTGCACCACCATGCCAAGCTACCTTTGTATTTTTAGTAGAGATGGGGTTTCGCCATATTGGCCAGATCTCAGACTCCTGACCTCAGGTGATCCAGCCACCTTGGCCTCCCAAATGCTGGGATTACAGGTGTGAGCCACCATGCCTGGCCAACCTTTTATAAATGGAATAGTTTTTCATGACATTTATGAAAACACAGATTTTATTTTTCAAATTTTGTTGAAGGAAGCCAACCATTCCTTTTTGTGGTATGTTGAAATACATATTTGAAATGGATCTTTATTTCACCTTATAAAATCCCTTTATAAACCCTTTTTTAAGTTAAATTTAATTTTTTTATTATACTTTAAGTTTTGGGCTACATGTGCAGAACATGCAGGTTCGTTACATAGGTAGGTATACACATACTGTGGTGGTTTGCCGCATTCATCACCCTGTCATCTACATTAGGTATTTCTCCTAATGCTATTCATCCTCTAGCCCCCCACCCCCTGACAGGCCCCAGTGTGTGATGTTCCCCTCCCTGTGTACATGTGTTCTCATTGTTCAATACCCACTTATGAGTGAAAACATGCGTAAACCCTTTTTTAAATAACGGTTTTATAAGGTGAAACAAATATGGTTCATTGTGATGACCTAGAAATTAACCTAGATTTTCTAGCAAAATATTACTTTAGAATTTAGAATATTAACCTACAGCTGATTTATTGAATCCTTACTCTCTACAGACACAGTTCTAGGTTCTTTATAAACCACTAGCTTATTTAATTCTCTTAGGAATCTTACTATTTTTATTATTCTCATTTTATAGATGAGGAAACCAAGGCTTAGGGAAATTACATAACTGCCCAAGGTTGTACACGCTAGCACATGGCAGAGCTGGGATTCAACCCTGGTATGTCTGACTTTGCAGCCCAAACCACCACATTCCCTTGTGAGCTCATACTCTATGAGAGATGGATTTGAAAGAAAGGTTATTTTATAAAAGATTCGTTCTTTATAAGTTTTTCAATCATTACGCTGATAGTCTTTCCACCCTTGGATAGAGATATATCAGATATTAAACTGATTAAGAACAGATACTACACTTGATCTTAGCCAAAAGGCCAAGACTTGGGAAGAGTGGTCATATTTGTGAAATCAAGGAAAAAATTTTTTAAGTATTTAAGAATTACTAATTTTACAAGTTTCTGGATATGGATTGAGACATAAAATCATATCATTTGATCCTGAAATAAACTATTTATTTAGAAAACAGAGCTATCTATATCATAAAGCAATTCTGTCTCTTTTTAAAAAAATGTTGGTCATATATTCAGATTGACCAGCATTTGAGATTTCTTTAGTTTCCAAGTAAAGCAGGGCTTTCTTCCTTACTCCTTAAGAAACCACCCTCTAGTGTTTTACATGATAGGTTGTAGGATCTGACAATATAACATCATGTTCTTTATCTGACTTCTGTAATCAAAAGGTTTTACAAATTTAGGTACTCAGAGTGTCTTACCACATAAGGAGTAGATATTTTAAGCCTAAAATACCACCATGTAAAACAAGAGTGATTCAGCTAAGTGCATGTATATTAAGGCAGCTTCCCTACTTATGCTGCTACTGTGCTGTAGTATAAACAAATCACTGAAGGTACTTCCCCAGGTATCTCTGAGTTTGTTTGGGTTTGTTTTGTTAATTCTTGCCTAGAGGTGTGCAATTCGTTTTCTCCTTAAGTTAGATTAAATTAAGAAAACCCTTTTTTAAGCAGCTTGAAACTATTATAATGGAGTGTTGATGTTAATGGATTTTCTTCTTAATTTCCAAACAGAGCATCATTTTGCAGATGTCGTCCTTAGTGAAGAATTTCTCAATCTTGGCATTGAGCAAGTGTGCAGCTTAATCTCAAGTGACAAACTTACCATTTCCTCAGAAGAGAAGGTAAGGATATTTTTCTTTTCCCAGCATGCGGTGATGTTTCCTTTTTTTTTTTTTTTTTTTTTTTTTTTTTGAGATGGAGTTTCGCTCTTGTTACCCAGGCTGGACTGCAATGGCGTGATCTTGGCTCACTGCAACCTCCGCCTCCTGGGTTCAGGCAGTTCTCCTGCCTCAGCCTCCTGAGTAGCTGGGATTACAGGCACATACCACCATGCCCAGCTAATTTTTTGTATTTTTCAGTAGAGACGGGGTTTCACCATGTTGACCAGGATGGTCTCGATCTCTTGACCTCGTGATCCACCCGCCTCGGCCTCCCAAAGTTCTGGGATTACAGGCATGAGCCACCGCGCCCGGCTCATTTCCTTTTTTTTTTTTAATTTCACTTTATTTTGTATCTTTGTGATCCTGTATGTGTAGTGGCAGCCAGTGATGCCTAACTCTGAAAGTTAAGAAACTTAGCTAGTTACTTCAGGAAAGGATTCTGGAGGAAAAAAAGAAAACTCAGGACTTGTTGATTGTCTATGTAAATTATTCTGTGTCTTCACTTCATGAGAGGTTCCGTACATTTTTAGACATTAGAGTTTTGTACTTGACCTCCACAGCAAGAGCTTATGCACATTAAACTATCTGAAACAAATGCTTTTTTGGAAACCAGTTTCTTTCTACAACTTAATGTATATAGGAATTATGATATGAACACAGTATTTGTTATTAAAGTAGTTTCCCTGTCTTCTGAGTTGAAAGAGGTTACCTAGGATGACAAAGTTTTGGTAGTTCTAGACTGAACATTCTTGATTGTCACCTTTCTTTAGGTGGGTTGATGGTCGCCTTCCTTTAAGTTGGTTCCCTATGACATATCTCACTCTGCCAGTTGGTCCATCCTTCCTTCCTCCCTCCCTTTCTCCCTCTCTGTGCAGCTACTGCTTCTGATTGTAGTCTTTTGTCTCTCCACGTTTTGGGTTGCCTTTGTCAGCCACCTGCACTTTTCATATCGCTGGAGAGAGAAGCTCTTCTTAGGAGCTATTTTTCTTTGGGTGGGGTTTGTAGCACATGGAAATGAGAGCACAAAAGCTGTGAAGACATTGTGCTTAGAGGAAAGGAAACTTGAGTTTCTCCTTTATGTGCTTTGCATTTAAAGTTGTGTAAACTCTGATTCTCTTTCTCAAGGATATTCATTTCATCTGGGGGTAAAAGACACATTTACTCTAATATTTACAGTATTAAAAAATGTGAAAGTGTTTGTGAGATATGTAATATTAGCATACTAGAAATACAGAGGATGATGACATTACTGTTCACATTTAATAGACACATATTGAGTGCCTATTATGTACCAGACACTGGCATGGGCTCCTAGAGAAGAGAAGATTAGCAAAATAGAATTTGTTACCCATAGACTTGAGGAACAGCCAGTAGGGTAAATAATTGATTACAGAATGCTGTAAAGGGTACCGTGGGAGTATTTGGTTTTTCCAGGGATGGGGCTAGGAATGGGGATGATAGTTCAGCTTGGTTCAGATATATATTTCAAGTCTTTTAAAAATGGGTCTGAATTTCCCAGAGAAATAGGGATGTGTGGGAATGCAGAGGGCATTCCAGATAGAAGAAGCAGAATATACAAATGTAAAGAGGTGTGAAAGAATAGTTGTATTCAATGTGTTCGGTATGATGGAAATTTAGAATATGAGAGTGGTGGAAGATAAAATGGGAAGATGATATAATAAAACATCTTCTCAGTTACATTAGAGAAAACTTTATTGTAGTGATGAAGAGCCTTAGAAGGGTTTTAAACAAGGGGAGAAAATCATGCTAAAACCTGCATTATAGAAATATCATGAGGGCTGTTGTGGTTTTCTGCTGCTAGCTAAGTCATTACAAAATGTAAAAAAACAAACGATAACCATTTTATTATGCTGACAATTCTATGGTCAAAATTCATGCAGAACAATAGGGACAGCTTGTCTCTGCCCCACAGTGTCTGAGGCCTCAGCTAAGGTGACCCAGATGGCTGGAGATAATCTGGCATGGTTCTATTGGAGCCATAGGTCTGGAGCTTCAGTTCTTCTGCACGTGGCATCTTGTGGATCTATAATGTCCAGTCTGGCTCCTCCACTCACTTTTGTCTGGCTTCTGGGCTCAGGGTTGATTGGTCTCTTTCTAGGTCTCCCTCTCTCTCCCCTCCCTTTCTTCTCTGTAACTTGCTTTGGTTTCTCATGGTGTGGTTGTTTCAAGTAGCCAGACTTCTTACATGACATTTGGCTTCCTTCAAATGAGCATTTCAAAGTAAAAGTAGCGAGGCTGCTTAAGACCTACCTTCAGAAATCACAGTGTCACTTCCTCCACGCTCTACTGGTTACACAGGGCCAGCTTAGATTCAGTGTGGAAGGTTACTATATAAGGGTATGGATCTGGGAGATGTGGTTTATTAGGAGACTATCTTTGGAGACTAGCTATCGTGGTGGTGGGCAGAATGGACCAAAAATGAGGTGACGGCCAGATAAGAGGATGTTGAACTCATACCAGTGAGCAGTAGGTTTTGATGTGGGATAGTAGAAGCAGGGGGTAGAGAAGACAGAACTGGGAAATATTAGATAGAATTGCCAGAAAGCAAACTGTCTTGTTCACGTAATCTCTAGCACCTGACACAAAAGAGACACTTGATAAATACTTGTTGACAGAATGAATTAAAAAGGGGTGTTAATTTTAATGTGCATTATTTTTAGTTTCTTGCTTTATTCCTGGATCAAAATAACCTATTTTTGGTCTCAGTCATTTGCATATTGTCAAACATTTCTTGCAAACCTTTAAAGAGTATTAAGTGATATATTCATCAGTTGAAAAGGAAATATGTAGTGTCTTCATATTAGCTTATTAGCTTTCTCACAGTTGTGTATCGTAAATAGTAATGCCCTTATTTTTTAATTTGTAAAAAAAAAATTTCAAAGTACCTCATTTTAATATATTCTACTCTTACAGTCTATTCCTCAAGCCCTCGATTTATGTGTATAGTTTAACATTTGTTTGTAAACCTGAAAAAAAAAAAAAAAGCCAAACCTTACTTATTTATAAGGGTACATGATTTTCATTCCACAATATCACTTTGCTTTATTATTTTGGGTAAATAGAAAAGAAATAGGGTGAAGGCTTTGTAAGTACATTGCAAGTCAGGATTTTGAAAACATTTAAGCTGTGAATTAAACTTGGATGTCTTAGCAAGAGTTGTATATAAAATGTTGTTTCATAGTTTATCCAGATGCCTTGGTACACAATTCATTTCTTATTTTTTCTTATCCTGTATTTTCTGCAAGGTATTTGAAGCAGTAATTGCATGGGTAAACCATGACAAGGATGTGAGGCAAGAGTTTATGGCTCGACTGATGGAACATGTGCGGTTACCTTTGCTTCCTCGGGAATATTTAGTTCAGGTAAATGTGTATGCAAAACATACAAATCCACATAGCACCATGTCACTGGCCTGACAGCATGTAGATCCCTATCAAGCAGGAATAAGAGCTGTAGAATGCAGATCTGTAGAGTACAGGACAGAAGACAGTCAAGGACCTTGCAGGCTGGAGTGCAGTGGCACTATCCTCCTGGGCTTAAAATATTCTCATACCTCCGCCTGTGGAGTAGCTGAAACTACAGGTGTGCACTACAGCCTTGCCTAAGTTTTAGTAGAGATGTGGTTTTGCCCTGTTGGCCAGACTGGTCTCAAACTCTTGACCTCAAGTGATCTGCCCACCTCGGCCTCCCAAAGTACTGGGATTATAGCTATGAGCCACTACGCCCAGCTGCCATTCCCTGCTCTTAGAAGTTTGCTTCTGCCCTTTTTGATTTGTGTAAGTAAGCTCTGGAACTTATTTGTGGTCATTTAAATGCATGCAAATAAATGTCCCTGTGGCAGTCATTGCTTTGCGTCTTCTTTACTGTTTTTTCTTTTTATAGCCTCTTCTGATTCCCCTGCAGACCTGGAATTTTGAGGTCTGACCCAAATACTGTTTAATTTTACTTCATAATTTAATAGTGGCATGCATTTGATTTCTGTCTTTATTTCTAAGCTGAGGGAAAAAGTTATTTGAAATAAATATGAATAAATGATTCTTTAATGGTCTCCAAATAATTTTAAATTTGCTCTTTTATTATTAGAATCCTAGTAGGAACATTTCAGCATTATTTTTAATAGTTGAGACCATTGGA